AATCGATGCGAACATTTTGAAAATCCATTTAATATCGAAAATATTTGTGGGGATAAAATGAAGAACACATGTTCCATATTTTCGCTTACACTCTTCACAGAAAAAGAATTTTAAAATCTAGGACATCAAGGTCAAATTTTCCTTAAATTTGTGCGATTTGACGTGATATTGCCCAATGCATTCACTGGGCATATTATTTCTACAGTTATTCTAAACATTATTGCCGACAAGACACGAAATTTTCGCACACTACAAAATCGCGAGCAGGTCATCTCGCATATGACACAGTGACTGTTATTACGTGTAAGCCCAACATTGGTACAGCACTGCAGTGATCTATCATTGATTTTTGAAATTTATTCGTTACTTACAATAAAAATAGTCGTTCACTCTGAATCTGACAAGGGCTCTATCGTCTATCAATTGCAACTCCGTAGTCTTCTTGCGTCATGAAGTGAATACTTTTAAAATACGTTTAAAACAGCAGATGTTTTCGCCACCTTCCGTCGGCTTTTCACCCGATTGATTTAAAATTTCACAGGTTGAAGGCGACGGAAATTATAGTTGTCATGGCACTTTCATTACACAGAATACTGGGAATAGCCACGTTACGTACACAATCACTTACCCTTAGTTTTAACGATCGATCTGGACACTGTAAAACTAGTTTCTTTTACGCTTATTCATTCTGCACAACTCAGCAGATAGATTTACTACGCTATAAGCACACGTTACATAGTCCGCCATTACAACGAAACTACTTCTTCGCTTGGTATGTCTTCGTTTACCCCTTTCCTTTCAAGTAACACGTATCATACATGCATCACATATCATGTAATGTAAATTTACACTTTTTGGGACGCTTACGTCTGATTTTCTACCGAATATTACGAGCATTTACTTGAATTGTCAGGAACTATTTTATTACGCGTGTACTTAAAAAAGTCCGAGGAAGAATGTGTATTGCGATCTTGCAGCCAATCAGCGTCTGCCCATCCTCGTGGCAATATTTTTCATCCACTTCGTTATCGTTGGATAATGAATACAGTATTGATGATGCAGATTTTTCATTCTCTCTTAATAAGATCATGTACAATTTTTCGAGAGTAGTGTTCGCGTAATTTGAAATGGTAGGTGAAATGTAGGTAATTACAAACAATAGTTTTCTCAAAAATGGGTCCAACTTTTTCTTTAAAATATTTTCCTCGTAAGTAGCAACCAATGATAAAGTGGTGCTAGCCCGTTTCCGGCGGTTGTATTATCGAAAATTGCAGAAAATGAACATTGCAAAAGTGCAATAATGATGGTCGAGATATTTTGGAAACAAAATCTGTTGTAAAGAAATTAATCTTCAAATCATGTATTTTTTACAAAAAGTAGTTTTCCCGTTATTTTATTAATGCAATTTATATTTCTTGTTCTCAAAAACCAGTCCAAATTTTTCCTTACATTTTTTCCAGTGATGGAGCGAAGAACGGTTAAATAATGACGTTGGTTTCGTTGTTAAACCCTTTGAATTTTTCGAAAATTGCGAAAGTTAGAAATAATGAGAAAAAGCATATGCTCTTGAGCATCTAGTTCAATCTTAAAGATAAAGATATGCATGTTTTTCTATCTTCAAAATAAGATAATCTAGGATAAAGAAACGTTCTTAAAAAGAAAGCTTAACATGTGTTAGTAATAAAATAAGCACGGTTTAATATCATGAAAGATAAACAATTTTTTTTTTTTACTTATCCTGAAAAACCCTCAATACTGACATTTGTTACATTAAATTGTAAGTCATTACCAGTAACCAGCTATCAGTGCCGCAAACAGGATGATTTTGTAAAAATTAACCATGTCTTTCCCAGAAGATAGAAATGGCATTTATTAACATAATAAAAGTGAAGTTTATCTTAACGAATTCACATTCATGTTCTTGAACTTCATGGCAAGCAGAACATACGGTCGCTGCTTCACTTTCCAACAAAACGTTACAAAATTAAACACTTAATTTGTAGAATTTTCTGCTTACAAAATACCATGGACATGCAATAACATTTAAAAAAACTGAGTTAATCTGAATGCTTTCTTTTAACTTTACGGAATCAAGAAAATGTATGGACTGCAGAAAAAAGTAACAATGTATTCCTGCAAAATTATTTCATTTTATATAAGAGAAACATGCTAGAAAAGCGTTTACGTACCATATCGTTCAAACATTCACTTAGAGATGACACAACAAAAACAGTTTTTACAAAATAACTCTTGATATTTTAGTTCGTAGTAATCCGTTTCCGTCGTCCTTTGCAGGAATCTACTAATTTATCCGTCGAGAGTATGAGTGGAAGTACACATTCCTGAATCCCTGCGCCGAAGCGCGTGGTCCTGGGGCCTCTGAACAGTATTACTGCTTCAACGCTCCGCTGTGATCTCAGGCTGTAGGATCTCCAATTCATCCGCACGTTGCGCAATTCTCTTCTACTGTATCTGCAGGATGCGAAAGAGAAACGCGCGTTTGTCAATCAGGGATCGACATCGTAGCACTCATAAGGACATTAATGCATTCACTCAGCATATTAGTTCCAGTAGTTGTTTTCAAAATGACTGTCGATAAGATGATGTGAAATGCATGCACACTACAGGAACGCGAGCTTGTCTTGTTGTGCGTATGACGCTCTGATTTTTTATTGCATTCTGAATATGGCAGTGGCTTTATCGTCTTATCAATTGCATGTTCCATGTTCTTATGGCTTAAAAAATTGAGCACGTATAAAATAAATTTAAAATTACAGTAGTTCCGCCTCATTTTGTCTGTTTCTCTCTTGAATGTATTTTTCCGACGTTGGTGACGATTGTTTAGACATGTCGCTTAAGTATAAAATCACAGCGTACTCAATCGACATGTCACGTACACATTCACATACTTACAATTTAAAAAAATCGTTCTTGACACTATTGCAAACGTTTCTTTTACGCTCCTTCTACACAACTCAGTTTCACTACACTTAAAGCTCACGTGTGGCGCTGTCCGTCATTACATCGAAACTGCTTCCTCGCTTGGAATGTATCTTGTTTCAAGTAACTCATCAGCTAACAAGAAACTACAAGTAAAAAAATTGAAACGCATGTCGCTAAAAATATTTATGTTCATAATTTTCATTGTTGCAACGAGTGGCACAATCTATTTTCGTTGCCGCATCAGTGCCACAACCAAAGAATATTATATACATAGTCACCCCCAGGTCACCCCTACGTGTCTTTTCCTGCACATGCTAATGAAACCGCCACAATTGCTCGTGCCGCCATATTGATACAACCGTCCTGGCGAAAGTTACATTACATTATAGATGAGCAAAATGTAATAATTCTTATTTGATAAGACAGCGAATACTTCATTCTTTGAGATAGTTCACTGCAAAGAGCGCGATAAATAAGGATTATTACGATAACAGTGCAAGCATGATTCTACTAGTACGCTTAAAATTCAATTAGAAAAAAAAATACTTTCACTTCTAGTGTCTAGTAATGAAATGCAGAATATATTTCTTCCTAAATTTGTCACTATTTAAAGCCAGTACACAAAATGTCCTATTGACTGTAATCAGGATTGTAGTATACAGGTATCCTAGTTTTCTTTCTCGGGTGAAGGCAGAATTGAATTGATGCCTTATTTTACGTGGCGAGACTCAAGCCATGAGGCCTGCTCTTCCGTCTGACCACGCAAGTATAGCTAGGCTCCTTTCACCAACTACGGGAGAAAAAACAAAACTTGGGCGACAAAATAGGCGATTTGAATTTAGCTTAGAGGCATCATTCAGACTTGAGGATCTTTAACATGCCGTAAATCTACTAACATGGGACAGTCCACATTACTTCCCCTCGGAAGGAACGCGTAAGAAAGATTTTTTCGCCTAAAAAATCCAGTCTTCGATTGTGTTTGAATTCGCGAACTTGGATATAATAGACCGATACGCTGACCGTTACACCATCGCCAAAATGGCACATGAAAACTCGCAATTTAGTAAAATATTAAATATATGTTAGAGAAATGTAAATAAATATGTGTATATATTGTATGTGTTAGTGTTTCATTATAATATGTATCGTTTATACATTAATGTCAGTAACTTGTTATTTACAATCTTTAAAAACTTCGATTTTCTTTTATATTCATTGTAACCTGAAGATATGGAAAAATCCATGTCCCCGTCACGTCGCACGACAATCTTTGAGTAATGAAGGCAAAAAAACTTTCAAATTTAAAATTATGTGATTCTGAGTTAG